ATGTAAAATCAATATTAGTTAATTTCAACATGTGTACATGTATCGGTATTGAAGTTGGTATTTGTATATATATTAAGTGCAATATCATTATCGAAAGTATCGGTAAATTATGGTATTGGTGGAACACTTAAATCCGAGACTATAGACCGGGAGTGCAATCTCTTCAACCTTTCTGTACATCTCTTCTGATCTCGGGTTAAATGCCTTACTATAGCTGTTGAATGGTCTGCAGTCAGATCAGGACCAGGTTCAGTATTATGTAAGACTTAGCTGCCTTTCAAGCTTGAGCCATCTTGAGCCGTCGCCGTTACCGTGGAACTATCATGTTGTGCAGTAATGGGCGACAAACACTCACTGTAGTCAATGACAAGCTCATTAATGCTGTCGTACTTAATAACAAGTAAGGAAAAATCATGAGAGTCAGAGCAAAGTTCGAAATCAAAGAAGAGCTCAGAATCAGAAGTGTCTAAGGACATTATAGATCTACTGGTCAATCACCTGCACTAGTTCTAGTAGACTACTATACCATCTAATACCATTAATTAACTTGTGACACGTGAGCGATTACAAATGGCTGATGACACTGACAAGCTTGCTGACAAGGCAGCTACTGTAGTGTATAGCTCTAGCCATGGGTACTATTCATGCTCTAGCTAGCACTGGTACGGTGGTATTATAGCTATGAACATAATAATCTGGCAGTACCTTCTGATTTGGCATCGAGTCATTTGGAAATGTAAGATATGCTTAACATAGGTGGTTGATGTCAGCATTGTGATCAGTTTTACTAGCACATGTATGATGCTTGTACAAAAGTAACTCAAAATTGATTGTGACTTGAATGTTTATACATAATTGAAAGGTTGTATGGTCTTTGGATGGGCCGTTTTGTTTTTCAAGGGTCAAGTTTAACTTCTTATTCTCGTAACTTTTCATTCCAGGTATTTTTCCAGGAAGACAGATTCCATGGACTTCAGCGTAATTTCTGATGAAAGCAATAACCCGGAGAATATCATGATAAGTCAAAGCATGGTTTGGTGTCTTTCCAGCATTTCCGTGAACTCTAATGAAGTTAAGTACATAACATGTAATTTGTAAGTCTCATATCTTGGTATTAATCCATTCATTCTGTAGTTTTTCACGATTTCCTCAAACCTGCTTTTGCCACATGTATGTAGCTTCAGAAATGTTACTCTACATATCTATTTCAAAGACATAATTAATTTTGTGTTGTGTTACTCATAGTTACAAACCTTATGACCTTGACACAAGAGCGTAAAAAATTGCCTCCTTCTTTCTGTCTCCTGTGGTTGCTAATTGAAAATCCCCCCCAGTGGTGGATCTAGGGGGTTCCATGGGTTCCATGGAACCCCCACTTTGGCAGAAGTTGTCTTTTTGCAGTATCTTTGGATTCTTTGCAGTCAGTTTGCAGCACTTTTCCTCCATTTTATTAATTAAAATTGATGAGCCACACCCAAATTTTAATTAAAATTAATAAGCCACACCTACTTAAGTAAAAAGGAACTCCCCTTTTAATTTTTCTGGATCCGCCAGTGCCCCCCACGGTAGATGTTGCTGCCATTTGACTCATAATAGCAATTTCTTGAACAGGCTTTGCCATGGCTTGTATGTCACATCTATATGTTTTTATGTAAGAGTGACTGAACAGTGCATAGCAATTATCTGAGCAACGACATCCATGTTCAAACTACTTTGATAATTCTTCTTTCTCCTTCGGGTCTTCCTTCCTCTTGTCATCACAAGAGGAGTAGTTTAAGTAGCTGGAGCATCAGGCGTCGCTCATTCTAAATCAAGATCAGATACTTGTAGCTCCAAAGATGGTGGATTACTATCTACATCACAATCTTTTGTCTCCTCTCTCTTCCATATCTTCTACTGCTTCATAGTCTGTCTCTATCAATTAATAAATACAATATATAACTAAGTTTGATATAATAATATTGTGCATTTATACTGGTGATGGAAAGTCATTGTTGTGATAGCTAACCGCTATAAACAGTTAGTCTGTAAACAGTGTTAAGAATAAGCTTACGACTAGTTTCATCGCAAAAGTAGTCCCAAAGAACTAAAGCAACGTAGTCACTGTCTGGAGGACCTTTTTCTTCAATTGACAAGCGAGCAATGTCTCTTTCTTTAGCCATAGTTTTAAAAGTAGTCTTCTTCGTCTTTGTTATACTCTATGGTTACCTATGATGCATTAAAGCCCTCCATTTTTATTCCGTGGTCGCTCTATGTAACATTCTTTGTGCACAATCCAGGTAAAAATGTCGCAGGGCTTATAACTCAGCAAAGAAAGCTTCGCTACCCCCCACTTTGGTATTAAATGAAAGGATTTTGTTTATATGACATGTTTATGTGATAAAATGAATTTTGCCTAGCTAAGATTTTTCGTGATTGTGAGCCCATAGCTCAAAATGATAATTCCCAAATATAGCCTAGTTTTCTCATATCGGGTCACATAGAATTTATTAAAACTGCAGACCTTTTTGTCTTTAGCAAACTTTAGCTTTAAAATGGTGATTTTTTTCAAGAATAAAAAATTTCACTGATTTTTTAAGGTTTGTGAAATTAAAATTAGGTTAATACAGACTGGACGGTATAAATTGCTGAAAGTGAAAATTCTCAAAAATTCCGTGAAGCTTCGGATAAAGGTCATTTTGTGAAAGTTATTATCCTCAAAAAAAGTGCTGTAGAAAAATTTGTATTTTTGATCAAAACCTGTTCAATGTTTCTAAACAATGTAAATACATGTACATATGTATGTATTAGAAAGTATAATGAAATCTTTTCTTTTCATAATTATTATTGTCTTTAGACTTCTGCAATCTTCTTGACATTATCCTTAACTCCACCCCTGAGATGATTCTACTGCTGATCAAGATTCAGTTCTTTTTCTGACAGTGATGACCTACGATAAATGTTGCACAGTAAATGGCGAAAGGTGATATTATGCATTTTACATGTAGATTTGTCACCATATAGCAGGAAATTTTGGAGGAAGTAAAATTTGGCAAAATCCAAATTTTTGGGTGATTGGTGGATTTTAAATTGTGAAAGTTGTGGCCACATGCCATTGAGCAATATAATAATGGCTCAAAATGGCAGATTTTTACTTTCCCAAATCGCTATCAAACATTAATTTACCAAATTTAATTCCCTCAAAAGTTTCCCACTATACGGTACATGTACTTTTAAATGCTCTTTCATTGACATTATTTTTTAATGAATAAGACCTTTCATCTCAGCTTTTATTTTCTTGTTCTCACTTTAAATTGTAACTTATTAGTTTTATTGTGAAAATAAACATAGTCACATATCAGTGCCTTCCTCTCCTTTTGTTCACTTATTGTTGTACTTAAGACATTTGTAGCTCTACCTTGAAATTTGTTAGTCTCCATAGTAATAAAGCAAGGCTGCAAAAGTTTTTGCAGCCAATTTGAAGTAGGGTGAATCATACTTAGTAACGCTGCCACATTACTAATTGGGCAAAGTCCTTACATTCTTTTTAGCAGGAAATTTTGGAGGGATTTAAATTTAGCATTTTGATAGCCATTTGTCAAAATAAAATCCACCATTTTGAGCCTTTATACGCATGCTCAATGGCACGTGGCCACTAATTCGCCAAATTAAAATCCGCCAATAACCAAAATTTAGAAATTCGCCAAATTTTACACCATCTAAAAGTTCCTGCTATATGATATGAGAATGTCTGTATGTATGCGTGCATACATTTCAGGGCGTGAGTAGGTGTGGCTAGGAGGTTAAGCCCCTCAATGTTTTACATACTTTCTAGTATCAACAAAAATTGAATGACTGGGTGGAGCGGTATTGCTAAAACCTTACAAAATAATGGTTATTTGTGCATTATTTAAAATTTATTATTATTATCAGTAATTCTGTGCTACAATAATTAGCATACTATATTTTACTAAAAGTAATAGCAATAATACATGTATTGCTTTTGCATGTTGTTCCATCTTTGGTTATTGCATTTGGAAATTTCAATCTCTACTTTCCTTGATCAAATGGGGTTCTAAAATTTCAAACAATTTCCTTTTTGAAATTTTAAAGTAGAAGTTTGATGTCTGTCAATCTATTGCTAAATTTTTATGACAATCTTGAAATTTCAAGAAGTCTTTGGTAGTGCTTTTGAATTTTCAAAGTAAAAATTTTGTGTCTATCAATTTATCGCTAAATGTTCATCACTATCTTCAAATTTTAAAAAGTCTTCTGCAGTATTTGAAGTTTCAAAATTACTTTTAGATCTTGTTTTATGCTTTCTATTTCTATAGGAGATACAAGTTCAAGTGAAATTCAAGGTTAAAAGTTTCAAGAACTTCAATATGAAAAAGAAACCTAACACAATTGACTGAATGCTTATTATAGAACTTTTTAAGCATCTTAATTATTGTTTACACAGGTTCAGTCCAACCACACAACACTCTTGACAGTTTTTAATCTGTTTATGCACAACTAATGTCATTTTTAACATTTTTTGTAAATTTTCTGCAGAAAGTTAATAACATTGGCATTTTTGCAGAAATTTGACTAATTGGAAAATGCAATTGGAAATTACAAGTTGTTTTCATCAATCTTCTTAGATTTACCACTTTCTTGCAACATCTCTGTGAACGTTATCCACGTCTCCATCTTTCGCCGCTTACTAGGTGATAATTCATCCTCTAGACTGATGGAACTTTTTTTGACAAGCCTGATGTGGTTTCATTGATTGTACTCATAGTACCCTCTAGTGCTTCAAAGTTTTTTTTAATAACAACTTCACTTTCACCTGTTCACTAGTTCGAGTAAAATCTTATTTTTTTTTTTTTTAAAGCAAGGATCAAGGATAGTAGCTAACGCAGTATACTCATTAATTGCAAAATTAGCAAACCTTCTCTTTAGAAATTTTAACATTTCCTTTTTAATGGTTCGAATGCCAACATCATCATAGTGCTTCTCTAGAGTTTCTGTTACCATTCTTACCAATGAAATAACCACGAAGTGGAGTCTGCTAATATAGCCTCAGTTGTTTCTTTAATGGGCTCTAGAGCAGCTACTACTTTAGCAGCCAAGTTAGCTGGATACTGAGTAAGAACTGTAAATATGTGCTCAAATGCATAAGCAACCAATGCCATTTTCATTTCCAAGACCGACATAAGCATATACAAAGAGTGGTTCCATCTGGTCTTTACATTTTGTTCCAACCGATGTAGAGGTAGCTGTAGTTGCTCTTGCATTTCTTGTAATTTGCTATATGCTGTGGTTAAATGCTTAAAATGCCCGACAATCTTTTTACATGTTGCCAGTAGGTCCAATACAGCCTGGTGAGCCAAGACTCCATGATTTACTACAAGCTGTAGTGAATGGGCGAAACATCTAAAAGATGGTGAGGCTTGGTCATGCATTGCTTTCATCATGTTGGCTGCGTTGTCTCGAAACACCAAATGGACCTTGACCAGAGGAATCTTCCAACTGGCTAACATCTCTTCATACTTTGTAGCTAAATACTGACCAGTGTGGGATTCATTAAGCAGAAGAACTTTTAGAACAGCTGACATTCTTTCAAAGGATTCGGTTACCCAGTGCGCAGTAAGGCTGAGTAAAGCTGCCACAGCATTAGCTGCACTCCAAGCTTCTGTAGTGAAACTAAAGAAATCAACTGCATTCATCTACTGCTGAACAATGGTGAGTGTCTCATTGTCAAGCTGAAGCAAAAATGTACTTGTCAAATACTTTCTACCAGAGGGGTAGGAAGATAATAGAGATTAGGGGGGCTAAAGGTTTTATCATGCATGCTCATTTTAATTGTTGCAACAAAGTAAACACAACATCATAAACTAATAGTGTCCAAAATAATTTTTTCGTCTCTCATTGTTAGTTACAAAATCTCTTGCAATATTTTGTACATTTAATTTATCTGTACGATCCTGGTGTACATGTAATAGTAGCACACTGTTGAGTCTCTTCTGAGTCATTGTTGACCTTAAATAGTTCTTCAGTCTTCTAAGTGATGAAAATGTTCTTTTAGCAGTGGCAGATGTCATTGGCACAGTTAAATAAATGG